TTAAAATAAGCCTTCGGAAATTAAAAAAGATTAATCCGTCTTCGATATATGTGACCTGGACACCCAATCAGCACATAAGCTTGCCACAAACTTCCCGTGTGGAAATTGCCCGACTTCGCCTTATTTAAAGAAGGACACTGATGAGGATTTAGTGAGGCCAACCACACTAATAATGTCTAGATAGGTGATAATAGGGCACTGACTAGAATGCCTTCTTTTTCCAAATAGGAAAATCTAGCTGGATCTATTTATGCCCTTATTAAATATTTCAATCAGGCTCTGACTAGAATGCCCTTTTTGTCTGAACAGGGAAATCTATCTGGTATCTATTTATGCCCCTATTAGGTATTTTAATTAATTTTCAATTTCATTGACAAATCCCAATTTCTAAATAATAAGCAACGAAATTATCAGAAAAATAGTTTTAAACGCATATTAAAATACTATTTAATGTTTAAAAACTATTTGAGCAAAAATATTTACGATTTTAAAAATTCGAAATATTGCACTTTTTGTCACAAGCGCTAAAGAAATGTTCTGTTTAGTATATATAAGGACGATGATATAGTAGATTCATAGTGTGCGAGTTAGTGTTAGTTATGCGTTAGTGTTAGTGTTAAGTTAGTGATAGGTTGATTGGTCAAAACAGTATTGTTTACATGTGTGTTTGTTCAGTGACTTGTTCAGTATTACTGGCGCAATATTACGTCTGTCCAAAATTTTTGCTTATGTATTTAGAAAAAGTAATGAGGCGCTGAAAAGACCCTCTAGTTAAATCCCCACATTGTGCTTTTCTATTCAGGCAGTGACAAGGCAATCTAGTTAGAACCTCTCTATCTTTCCACATCATCACCTGATATTTCAAGCGGGACGAAATTAGACGGGTCCTGACTAATTTTCCTAGTTTGCGCCTCACTAAACGAAAGGGCGTCTATTCAGGGCCTTACGAAGTCCTATTTTCAATTTCTACACGGGTTGTATTAAGCTTGCTGTGCAAGGTGTGCAAGGTGTGCAAGCTTACAGAGCAAGCTCGTGACAAGTTTGTGGCAAGTAACAAAATCTCCTATTGCTACAAGCTTCCACTGCAATCTTGCTACAAGATTATGATATAAGCTTGCTGCAAGCTTGTGAGGCAAGTTTTTGACAAGCTTATTTGGCAAACTTGCTACAAGTTTCTAGTGTAAGTTTGCAGTAAGCTTATTGCAAGCTTGCTCCACAAGTAAATACAATTTAATTGAATCAATTTTAATTTTTTCTGGAGATTTTCTTATAAATTTTAAAATATACACTCAGCAATATGGATATATTGATATTGATTGATGGATATATTGATGCCACCTGGATGGGTGGCAAAGAAATTTACTGCGCAGCCGTAAATGCCATAGAATTCAACTGCGCATCGTGTCAAGTTTTTTAATTTATCCGGCAGCTTGTCACGAGCTTGCTCTGTAAGCTTGCACACCTTGCACAGCAAGCTTAATGCAAGTTTGTGGCAAGCCTTGTAACTTTTTTAAATATTAATATTTTTTAATCAATTTAGGATTATTTTCTTCACTGCACGGAGAGACCCACATTCGTAAAAATTACTAAAAATGGTTGCAATGACCGGAAATAAGGGGACTTTTAGCATAATGTGCTACAGAATTAGATAAATTTACAAAAGAAATAGATAAATTTGCTACATTGAAATAGCAAGTTTTAATATTTTGTGTAAGAGTTGTAAATGTAGCAAAAATTGATTATAGTTTTCTCTAATTTAATTAGACAAAATCTGACAAATGAAAACATTTTCCACTAAAACCTACGATCCACTGTAGTAATTTTTGGTGAGCAAGTGTGGCTAGCGAGTGCAGTCATATGGCGCCTGCATTTCTATTGGTTGCTAACTTCGTCAATCTCCGTAAATGAGCCGATGCCATCCGATCATTGACAGTGACTATGTTTCGCGTATGTAAAATAAATTTGGATATTATCTACAATAATTAAATATAAAGTGAAACGTAGGTCGTTCGGTATCTCAGAAATTGACCATTATAAATTAATAAACTTTGCATTTATTCCTGTCCCAAGAACTATGTCTTATAATAAGTTGTTAAAAGTAAATTGCTTTCTCGTAAGTGCTGTAAATTTTCATCATTCAATATATAAGGAAACAAAGATGTATACTTTCAGTGAAATTCGTTGTCGTGCGTGCAGTTGTGTATTTGTGTATTAATTAACCGCGTCTATACATATAAGTGAAATAAACATGTGTGTGTCTTCAAATATTTATACAACAAATATATAAGTGTGTGTGTGTCTGTGTATGTAAAAATCCTTCCAGTTTGTCTCCATTAGTCAAGAATTGACGGGAAACCGGCGACAAAAATCCGTATTTTTTCTTTCACTCTTTCTTTCTGCATTTACAAACGACTGTAGTAATTTTACGTACACAATGCTTCTGAGTTTACTACAGTTATTTGGAACTATTGGACGAAATAGTAAGAAACTTTGCTAATTTGGTGAACATTTGTCGGGATTAGTGACTTAGTGTAGAAAATAGTAAAAAATACAAAAAGTCCCCTTATTTCCGGTGGTTGCAATGTGAAAATAGTAAATTCTAGTGTGATTTTATACAAAAATTAGTAATCTCGGTCTCTCCGTGTGTGGATCACAGTATCAAAATAAAAAACATAAAAGTAATAAACATTTTTTTTTAATAATTGTTTATATAAATTAATAACAAACTCCCCAAACATAGGAAAAATAATCTAAGTTTTCTAAATAGCAACAATAAGTATAAATAAGTGACACATGTTTGTAAAGGTTTTCGAGGCCACTGATTACGAATATGATGTTAAATTGACAATTTGACAGTTGACAGCTGTCAACTTCTCTAAAAAGTGATCGTTTTTTATAAAAAAGACAGTAATAAGGTTTTTGAGGTCGTTGATTACGAATATCATATAAAATTTTAATTTTAACTGTTGACAGTTGTCAAAGAAACTGTCAACTTTTCAAAATAATAAAAATTATCGTCTTCGTTATTTTAATTTGTATAATAACAAAAAAATCAGTTTTTTCGTATTTTTACTCTTGTTTCTTTTAACTTTAAAAAATTTTTTAATTAATTTTTTATTTTATTTTTTTTTTAATTTTTAATTTAAAAAAAATTTTTTTTTTTTAATTAACTTATGACTTTTTGATTTTTACCATTTTAAAGAGCGTTTCACATTCTATCCGAATCAACAAAAAAGTAAAAAATGATTTTTTGACACGTTAGGTCCCTTTTCATAGACCAGGTCACATATCATTAAAAATGTAAATTGAAATTCAACTGTGACTGTCCTGATACTCGTGGTCGTGGACGGTAGTGTATATACCCCTAGCTTTTCTCCTTCTAATCTGCGACAAAGTTTAACCTCGAGTTTTTTCTTTAAATTTAAATGTTAAAAATCTTTATTAATAGTTATAAAACTGCATGATCAAAGTACAGAAGTAAGTATTAAATCTTTTAAATCTAAATATGATTCAATGTTTTAGAGTTCAAGAAATTAAATTTTTCTTTTTTTTATTTACATCCAACAAAAATGAATCTTTTGGGAGAATCACCCAGATACCATGCAAGTGTCATAAATAATTTTTTTAAATATTGACCGCCATATTGGATCCTCCATTTTGAATACCAAGTTTCATAAAAAATTAATAATTCTATCTAGCTCCTAAATGAAAACACTTTATTCGCGAGAGCGTTTATAAAACACGTAACTCACGAAAACAAATAGAAAGCATGCTTATTTAAAAAGACCGTTTTTGAAGGCTATGTTACAATTTTACAAATTGCAAAAATATAAGTTAATAAAATTTTTTTATTAAAGCTAAATTAACTTTAAATAATACAAATTCTTTATTTGGCATTTTATATTGGCTTAAAATAAATGACAAAATTTCAGAAAATTATCCTATACAATATTTTAGATGAATAACGCTTTTTCTATTCGTTTTAGTGAGTTACGTGTTTTATAATTTCTCCCGCGAATAATGTGTTTTTATTTAGGAGCCATCGAATTGAGGGGCTGGATGCTATAAAGTGTTACGCCCCATGTTAAGTAAATGACGCGTAACACCTTATAGCATCCAGGCCCTCAATTTTTTAAAGATATCTTACCATCTTTTATTTTAGGGTTGTTTTCACCCTTAAAAGCTTAAACGGCACTTTCAACCCCGCTCTCCCCTATATTTATATTTTAAATTATTTCTTTGTCTCAAATTGTTATATTCAGAACTATAGAATATTTTATTAAAAATAATAAATTATTTTTAATTTATTTAAATTTGTAACCATAATATTTGTTATTGTTGTTAAAGTTGCTTATAAATCGAAAACGTCTAACCATGCATCGAAAATTGATCTTTTTGAATGTTAAACACCACGACTTTATAAATTAAATAACTTTTAAACCATACAACATGCCATTTTGTCCTTTAGCACACATAATCTACAAACTTTAAACTATATTTTTAAGATATTTTTGAAAATTTTTAAAATGGCCGAAAGTCTATAAAAATAAACACAAAACTTTCGTTTTTACTTTTTTAATGAAAACTTATACAATTATGAAATTAAAAATAACCAAATTAAAGGAAACTAAATTTGCTATAAAAAGTGACGTAATTTTTTTATTTAATGCATTTTAATGAAAGTAGCAGCATTTTAAAAAATAAGTATTTTCCATTATAAATTGAGGAGGGGCTGGTAATAACGGGAATTAATTTCTTGTTGAATTAATTATGTTAATGTTTACAAAATATTAATCCTAATAAAATAAGTATTTATTTACTATTGTTAATATTTTTTAAGCATTAATATAATTAATTTATCAATAAATTACACAATCATTTTAACACGTTTTTACTATCAGCCCTCAATTTTAGGTTGTCCGTTTCGCGTAGAATGTCCCAATTGTAAAATGTTACAAATATCGAAACTGAATAAAATTTTAATTACTGATTGTTTTCAGTGAGTTTAATCTTCATGGGATGTGGAGTCGCCGATTCATGGACATCGCCAGCACTACCATATCTAACAAGTCCCGAATCAAAAATTCCAGTGTTACAACATCAAGGTTCCTGGGTTGCATCACTTTTTAATGTTGGTGCAATATTCGGTTACATTGTTTATCCTCTATTCATTGATCGTGTTGGTCGCAAGTATTCACTTCTCATTCTATTCATACCGCAATTATTGTCATTTATATTAATTTATGTTGCAAAAAGTGTAGAGCTACTTTATATTTCAAGATTAATTGGCGGTCTTGGTTATTGTGCCGGTGAAATTGTCGGCTATATATACATTGCCGAAATAGCCGAGAAAAAAATTCGTGGTTCATTAATTATTCTTGAGGCAATATCCTATAATGTCGGCAGTCTCATTGTCGTGACAATTGGCGCATTCTTTTCATATAACAAAATGAATTTAATTTCCATTTCGTTGCCTTTGTTGTTTATATTAATTTTCCCCTTTCTGCCGGAATCGCCATATTTCCGATTGAAACAAAATCGCAAGGAGGAGGCGACGAAAATTTTATCAAAACTACGTGGACTGAAGGATCCAACTGCCCTGGAGCCGGAAATTAATCGTATCAAGGAGGCGATTATTGAAGGTGAAATAAGTAAGAAATATGCGATGCGTAAATTATTTGAAAATAAACGTCATCGTAAAGCTCTCTTTATTGTTGCACTTGTCAAAGCGAGTACAGCGTTCTCGGGTTATTTAGCCGTCTCGTCGTATAGTCAAATAATTTTAGGTTTCAGTGGTTTCTCATTGGATCCGAAATTTGGAACAATTGTTTTAACATTGATACCAATATTATTTATAATACCAACAACGCCATTAGTGGATTATCTTGGACGAAGGTGGCTGACCTTATTATCGGCTTTAATTTGCGCTGTCAGTTTATTCTTTGTGGGACTATTCTTTTTCTTCAAGTTTTATTTAAATTTCGCTGATCTTACGGTAATCTCTTGGGTGCCATTGGTGGCGTTGGTTATTTATAAAATTTCACTAATGGGTGGAATTTATTCTACGTCAAATGTTTTGGCATCGGAACTGTTTCCAGTTGAAGTGAAAAGTTCGGCATTTGCATTTATAAGTGTTTCACGTGAAATTCTATTGTTTTTAGTTAATTTAGGCTTCGATTGGTCAATTCACAGTTTTGGTATTTATAGTGTTTTTTGGATGTATGCCGTGTCATGCTTGGCACTGTCACTATTTGCTTTCATTATAATGCCGGAAACAAAAGGAAAAAATTTAGAAGAAATTCAAGTATTATTAGACTGACCTTTCATTTTATTTCTCTCTTAATAATTGTAATTAGAAGAAAATGTTTAATCATAAATTTTTTTTAATAATAGGCTACTATTTAGAATATTGTGTGATAATAAAAACGAACATGACTTTTATTTTTTTGTTGCCCTATGAAAATTTTTCCGTTTCTTTGATTCCTTGTGCGAAAGAAATTTCAATACTGAAAATTATTAATAACTATTTACAGATGTGAAAATAATTTTTCAATATCATATAATAGATAGAGTTTTTCATACTTTTTATATTTTATTCACAATACTTAAAAAGATTTTTAATTGTAAATTTTATTTATTGAAAATTATATCAGATAAACGTATTTTTCTTTCAGAAATCTACAATTGGTTTCAACGAAATTATATTGTTGATTGAAAATGAAAATAAATATTTTCTCGAAAATCATTTTCCATTGTTAAGAAAAAAATAAAAAGGTTTTATTCAACAAGTTTTTCATTGTCATTGCCAAGATGTATCTTCATCAATCAAATAAAGTCTCAATTTATAAATTCTACAGGGCTATAGATAAGACTCAATGAATATGCCATTAAATATATTTCATTTTCAATTTAGTATACCAAAGAATCGAGGTTCATTAAATGTCTTTTCAGTGGAAAGTTTTATTTGACAATAAACATGAATATACGATCCATATTCTTTTGCTTGCAAAATGAGATTTCATCAACTAATACTGACGGTGATTTGGACAACAAGAAAACATTGAGCAAGAAAAATGGAAATCAAACGTTTCAAGTACTTCTCACTATCAATGGTAATTATTTCTCAAATCAATTTTATATAAATAGAAAAACAAAATACCTATAGATTAGGAAATATATTCAAACAAAATTTCCATTACAAGAAACGCAATTGTCACATGAGTATATCATCAAAAAATATTTTAAAAAAATTCGATACAAATAATAAAATTAAAAAATAAGTTGAAAAATAACGTATAGATCAGGTAATAACATAAAGGCCATTAAAAAGTACAAAATAACATCATTATTTAAAAAAATACTTTTTATAAGTTTGCTTACTTTGATGTGTAAATAAATACAAAAATAATTTTTTTTAAATATTATTAAAAATTAGTGAGAAATTAATAAAATAACTTAAAAAATACCGTAACATATTTACCGTAGTAAATATTGCATCTTAAAATATAATTAACATAAAATGTATTAATTAAAACTCATAAAAGTAATTAAAAGTCATAGGAATAAAAATACAATATTTGCCACCCTGTTGTCACAATAGGTCAATTTGACTCAATTTTTTAATAAAAAAAAACTTTTCTGTACATCTTTTGAAACATCACAGAAGTTATAAACGTGAGGGTATTATTTTAAACTTAAAAATGAAAAAATAATTTTAAAAATAAAAAATTATACAAAAATAATAAGAAAACACAAAAATTTTTTAAAATAAACAACTATAAGGAAATAGAAAAAACGTCATAAAGTAAAATGAAAATATGAGTATAACATAGAAATCGCAAAATATAATAAAAGTTGTCATAAAAACTTAGTAATAAAAAGTAAACAAAATTGTAAAAATACAAAAAGTCGTAAGGAAATATATCAAAAGGTTCTTAAAGAAATGGATGATATTTATTAAAAACTAAAAAAATAACATAAATGGGTAACTGCACCAATTGCCGAGGGTGCTCCAATTGTCGAGGATAATAATTTTCTTTTTTAGATAAATAGTATAATATATAATATTTAAGAACAAAAAAAATTTCTAAATAATCTTTGTATTTTCAACTGTATATTTATATATACAAATTTCGTAGCGATTCTACTAAAATAATTATTTAATTAATATTATAATTCACTGCTGTGAAATTTACACGAATCTCCATTTTCTTAATACTTCAGGCTGATTAAAACAGATTTTTAGAAATGAAAATTAAACGTATTTATAATGACTTTTTGTGTACAAAATTATTATTATAATTTTGTACACGAACTAAATTAATTTTGTATGCATGTTTTTTTGTTAAAAAAAATATTTAATATTTTTTAAAAGCAAATCATCGGTATTTGGTTCCTTTTTTTTGACAGTTCCATTTTTCGAGGTAATGACTCGAGAATTGGTGTAGTCACTTTTTTCGCTGATGCACCATTTATCGATGGTTAAGTGTTTATTTACTAAACGTCAAACATAAATGCCAAACATTTATAGGTACAGAGAAAAAGAAAAAAAATGCTCCAAAAATTTACAACCAACAGAAAATAATCAACCAAAAAAACGAGGAAGACCGAAAAAAAATTAATAAAAAAATGCATTATTTAAAACTAAAAAATTTTGTACTATAGTTTAATTATAATTAACCATTATATTTACAGTTCGTAATAAAAGTTTATTTTATTCGTTTACAAATTTAATGTGACTTAAATTAATTTATTTTTTCAATTAATGTCTGATTAACAAAATTGATTAAATTTAATTAACTTATATTTATAAAAGTTTAAAAAACAGTTAAATAATTTTCTGTCCTGTATCATCTACTATAAAAATGTTTTATATCGATATTATAAATTATTCAATTATAGTTAAATAAATATATTTGTTTTCTGGTAATGTTCTATAATATTTTTATCGAAAAAATAAATATCTACTCGATTTTCTAATATCTGTACAGGTTAATTGTTAGGTTATATTGGGTTATATGTTTAAAAATGTCATACCCTCGACAATTGGAACAGACCCTCGAGAAATTAGCACAAGACCATCGACAAATGGTGCTTTTGCTCGATTGACTTTTAAATATATTTTTTGCTTAACAATTTAGTTTATATTAAAAAAATAAATATGAATATTAAACATTATTAGATCCTTCGTCCAAATATACAAAAATCAAATTTTAAAGTGCATTTACTTCCGAGAAAAAAAATGTCAAAATCACATGTTGCCTAAAACCCTCGACAATTGGTACAGTTACCCTATTATACATAACTTTTATACCATACGAAAACCTACAAAATACTAATTTAACAAAGAAAAATACTAACAAAAGAACATACATAGAAATAAAAGAAGTAAACTAAAAACAAAAACTTCGAAATCAAACGAAAGCTTAAAAAACGACAATGTAATAAATAACAATAAACATAAAAATTTAAAAAAACAAATTATCATAAAAAAAACAAAAAAATAAATAATTACAAAAAGGTAACGACCTTTTTGTAATTATTTATTTTTTGTTATAGCAAATGAAAAGGCAATTTGTAAATTTTTGTAACAATGATATTAAAATCATAAAATAACAAATAGATCGTAAAATGTAATTTTAAAATTATTTGTAAGAGAACAACAATTAGAATATATAAATAATGAATTAACGTTGTTATATATTGTGAACAAAAAACCACAATGAGACAAGAGTTATAAAGTGACATGAAGGTCATAAAATTAATTAAAAATCATAAAATGACATAAAAAATTTAATAATAGGGAGTAGTGGGATAAAGCGTCCATACTGTGGATTTTTGCATTGCAGTAATCAACAGAGTTAACAAATTTTATTTAGTCTTTGATATATAAAAGGTTGCCTGAGTATGCAAAAATATATTCAGATTTTGATTTTTTACATTCCGAGCAACACCGATGCAAATTTTTGCTAATTCAGGTATGACTTATTGCAAATGTTCTTTCAAAGAAGAGGGACATCATATATCTATACATTGCATAGGGTAAGTCCGGGGAAGATGGCCATAGTTTTTTTAAAGCACTGTAAAAATGATAAAAAGCGATTTTTGTCTAAAATTTTATTGATAATAATTAAACATTGAACACTAGTAACGAAAAATGAAATATTTTTTATAGAAACATGTATGCGGGAGATTTTTAATTTGTTTTTCTTTAATATTTCTTAAGTATCTAACATTAACATAAAAAAATTTTAATAAAAGTCATTAATGACCATCTCACCCAATAATACATAAAAACTAAACATCAAAATATTAAATAAATAAAATAATTTTTTTGTTTATATCGAAGCGTGGGTTATATACTACTCAATAAAACTTAAAATTAAAAAATGTTACATTTTAATTATTTTTCAACAATTTGTTGTTTACATTTGAGTCAAAACGCGTCAACCATCAATAAAATTTTTTTATAGTTTTGGAAAAGTCAAAACATTTATGAAAATCTGTAAGTAGTATAGCTAGGCCGGTTCTGCCCCAGGTTCTGATCTCAGCTAAGTACCCTCGGTCGGTAATGCAGATTTCTACTTTATCAGTGGTTGTAGGGGTGTTCTACCTTACCGACCGAATGTAGTTCCTGCTGCCACCGCTAGATGGCGCCACTTGCAAATTCCCTTTGGCGGGAAATTTAAAAATTTAATTTCAAACTTTCGAGTGGCTTAGAAGGGGTTCTCTGTTTTACCGACCGATTTTTTTTAGTTCTGGCTGCCGCCGACAGATGGCGCCACCATCGAATTCAAACCTGCTTTGCGGGAAATTTAAAAATTTATTTGATAAATTCAAACCGTTTGGACAGTGAGCCGCCATTTTGTTTTACCGATCGAGTGCGGTTTGAGTGTTATCCCGATAGATGGCACCACCACTTAATCGTTTGAATTTTGTATTTCGCGGGCAAAGATGACGCAATATTGTTTACACTAATAAGATTATTAAAATTTTAATAGATGGCGCTTGTAAAAGTTGTTGAAATCTATTATATTAAACATAACCTTAAAATATATTATATTAAACATAACCTTAAAATATATTGTATTAAACATAACCTTAAAATCTATTTCATTAAACATAACCTTAAAATGTATACCTTATTATCTAACGTAATACTAATGAAGGTATTTAATTAAATACGGTATTAATAACAGTTCATACATTTATTATATTTAATATGCAATATTTACACTTGTTTTATTTTAAATTCAATATGGTTGTATGGACCACCAATATACTTCAGCCGTAATTGTCCAGAACTAATAGCTTCTTGCATCTGATCCAAGCATATCAAGTCATCAGTGAACATTGGTACAAATCTTGAAGGTAGGAATGTATTGAACTTTTTATCCACCTCAACGACGACCTTGACTCCATACCTGGTGTTGACAACCTGGATCTTTGTTATAGGATACTTATGTCTAGGAGTCAGCTCGGAAAGCGGCTTCGTAGGTAAGAAAGCATCCATGCGACCAATGGCATTGATTTTCGTTAGATCCATCTTTTCTTAGAGATAATACTTTGTGAAGTTACAAAACAGAATGACTAAATCGGCTCAGATGCCTCTATTTATACCCAAATATCACGCATTATCCCCACCATTACTTTTACGCATGCGCAGTACCCCTACCACTAATTCTACGCATGCGCATTACCCCCACTTTTTATTATTGAGCCACGCCCACTTTGTGACGTCATAAGACAAGTCTAGACTAGTTTTAACATGTTTAATAGTTTTACACATGTGTAATAAAGATAATAGGATAGGGAAAGGTTAATTAATGTAAACATTAATAGACATTTAATACATTTATTCATTATATAGGAAACTTTCACAATCATTATAAAAATCTTTCAATGTACAATCATTGTCAACTTCATCATTATTTTCTATATTATTTCTTAGTACATTCGATGGTTGTATCAACCAATTTCGTAGATTACATACATTTTTCACAGCACAGTTGCTAAAGCTACGTGTGTGATTTGTACATGTAGATGAACTATCTACACTTAAACTTTTCAGCGACGGACATTTAAAATCATCTAAATTAAACACATTTAATGT